TCCTCAGGTGCAGGGGCCACCTAGTGTGGTGCAGTGTTTTAAAATGAAAGCCTTGAAAAAAGGATACAGTCCTCAACTGGACCAGAAACTGACCTTTGTTTATTGAACGACTGTTTCCTTCAGGAACACAGAACAATATTATACCAGGTCTACAACAATGCTTCTGCGCCTGTGACATGCACAGGGTGACCTGGGGATTCTGATAAGATGCAGACTCTGCTTCTTATCAGGACCAGACTGGCACAATGACACTTGAAAGCCAGTCCAGAGAGAAACAAGAGGGCATCCAACTTCCTCAGGGCCTAAAATTCACAACGTTTCAAGTTCTTCCAAGCCCCCTGTGAGGCAGATTTTGATGACTACCCTTCTACAGATAAGGAAGATGAGGATAATGGAGGTTATACAATTCACCTGCGATCACAGAACTAGTGGAGTGGGCATTCAGACTCAGGGACCACTCACCTTGTCTGAATCATTCTATGCCGTGCTGGCTGCCCGAGATGCCTCAATTCCTTCTGCTGAAGATCAGGCTTGGTGTCAGAGATGTGACACTGGGCCGTGGACAGAGACAAAATGGCCCCAGTTCCCCGAGGGGAGGTGGGCAAAGCTTGGAACGAAGCAAGGTCACACAGCAGAAGGAGCTGGCTCTGAAGCAATCTGGACCTTTGAGTTTTGGCTCTGAACTTTCTGTTATACCATGATGCTGTGCAGTTATCATCATGGTGCCACTTCTGGGGCACTGAGCTCAGAGGGCAGGGATGGTTGCAGGGCTCAGCTGGAGGAGAGAGCTGGTGTTTGGAGTGACGAAAGGTGGGAGAGGGAGAAAAGCTTGGTGGGGTCAGACCTGAAGAGAGGCAGGCTCTGTAGGAGCAAATTATCCGGCTTCCTCACTCACTCACAGCCTGGAAAAAAGACCCAGTGCTACTAGAGCTCAGGGATTAAGACTGCCCCATTTGGATTCTTCCCCCAGGGTAGGTCTGGTAAGTGAGTGCTCAGATTGCAAAGTCGGACAGCAAGACAGAGTTTGTAGGCTGCTGGCGATCTCTGGTCTCAAAGGACAGAACCTTTTGATGACCCCGAGGGCCAAGGCCCAGACCATGTCTGGCTTGCACCGACTACCCCCGCATCACAGAATCTCCTCCCATCTACCATTTCTGGGGCCTTTACATCCTCAACACAGCCCTGAGTGTTTCTCCAGAACTTCCTGTTTGCCTGCAGCTGCACAGACATGGCCGGTCCCACCCAGGGTCATCTGGAGGAGGTCTGGGGTGAAAGGTAGCCGTTGGCTGTGCTCTCTATTGCTCCTCAGGGTTTTCTCCACCTACACATGGGTCCTCTGGGCTTCATTACTCTCACTGGGCGCTGAAACCAGTGGAGCAGTGGCCCTGCATCCAAGACAGCTCACATGAAGGTCAAGGTGACCCCAAAGGGTTTGTGGCCAAGATCCTTAATTTTTTTTTTTTTAATATTTCACTTTCACAAAAATCCAAACAAGTGATGACTTTAGGACACAGCGTTCCAGAGAAAACTGGGGAGGGGAGCAAAGTCCTCCTTGGTTGGAAAGATGGAGAAAAAGCACATGGGGTGAGGTTTTTGAGTTTCTTGATTGAGCGCCTCCATGGTCGAAAGACCCCACATGCGCTTGGCAGGTGCTGAGACTGCAGGAGCTATAAACAGAGGGACAGAACGGATGTTTCTGGGGGGCAGAAACTAAGTCAATGCCAGCTTTGGAAAATTTCCAGTTTGTGTGCCTGGAAAATGTTCCTACTGCAAAACAGAGTTTCCAGGCGGCTGCCATTCCTTTACAACCCAAGAGGTTGTGAAGTAACCAGACAAGGATCTGTCTGTCCTGACTAGTCTTGGGGTGTTCATGCCAGTCTTAATGATTAATTAGATTGTCTCGGTGTTTAGAGTATTTTTAAAGTATAACATTGCATTAGAACATTGTCTGAGTGATCTATCACAGAAACAAAGAACTGAGTATCACATGTTCTCACTCATTAGTGGACCTTGAACAACTATCACAATACTCTAAGAAAGGGATTGGCAGTAGTGGGAAACTGCCAGTGAGGAGGGGCACACCTCATCAACCAGAGTACCTGCATAATGAACATTTTTATATCTAACTCTGAATTGTACCCCACATCTTTAAAATAAAAAAAAAAATTTTTTTAATAAAGAGCATTGTATTATATTGATTTGGGGATAATACGGTCATGCAAATGACTTGAAAACAGACTTTTAAGTTGAGTGTTCAGGAGCCCTAGGTAATTTGATGTTGAACCCATTTCTTGGATCTTTTTCTCTACTATTTGCTTCTGAAGGGACTGTGATCTGTGACAGCATATTGGAGAAGACAAGCAGGATCCTGAAGTGACAAAATTCTAAGAAGTCCAAGGAAGGAAGAAATTTTGTCTACAAAATGTAGCTATCACCATTGGATTTTCAGAGCTATTATCTGACTTCCTCTGTCCTTTGATGCCCTAAGATGAGGGCCCTTGTGTTCTGTGTTACCTGGAGTCCCTTGTCTGCTGGCTTCCAGTTAGTTTGGCCATTGAGAACGGCAGCAGGAGATTAAAGAAGTGACAGGGTGTTTTTTCTTGTTTCTCAGATTGACAATAGCTGTGGTTTACCAGGAGGTCCATCCAGCACCCCTTCCCCAAACAGTTTTGGCTCTCATTGGGCTCCAAAATTCTCTTTTGTCTCTTTGTCCCTCAGGTTTAAGGGCCTGAAGCCACCATTGCTAGCCTTTAGGTGTCTGTAGACTCTGTCAACAGTTGCTTCTATAAAGTCTCTTTGTTTGGGTCATCTGCAAGGATCTGTTTTCCTGCAGGATCCTGAAGGATAGCAGCCCTCACAGTCTGACTTCCTGAGCATAACAAGTTTCCTGCGGGAAGTCAATGGCGCCTTCTCAGCATCACTGCTGTTTTGGTTTGTTACTGTCTGTTGACTTCGCCCTGTGGGAGAGGGCGTCATCGTGCATATTGGCTGCTGAGGGCACAGAGCAAAGGGGTGAGCTGTGCATAAGGATGCTGGAAGGGTCGCGACACACAGTCTCAGCAGGAAGTGATAGGGCATGAGCCCTGCTGAGGCAGAGGAGGAAGATGGGGATGAGGAATTGGCTGGAAAGAAGTGTAGGTCATCAGAAAACACGTGCCATGGGCACCGAGTGAGCTGCTCAGATTGTGGGGCGTGTGGTCCAGCAAGCAGTCTCCAGCTGATTCTCCCTTCAGGCCCTGCCTCAGCAGAGAGACACCTCATTGATTCACCCCTTACCAGTACAGCCTGACTGGGCTGGTGGGTCTAAAGACCTGGCTATTTTGGCTCCATGTGGGATACTTGTAACTGTCTATACATCTTGCTGGATTGGCTGATGCTTTGTCGACTCCTTTCTCTGTACAGTCCTGCAGCTCTCCTTTCTCTCAAGTACTGGCCTCTAACAAGCATCTTGCATTCTAATGCCATCTTGGTCTCTGTTCTTTGAGGGTAAGTTTAGAAGCATTTACAGCAAAAGCGTGACAGTAAAATAACAATCGTTATTTTTTGGGATTTATCTTATGGATTTTTGTGTGTCCCAAGGAGATTTCAGACTTTATAAAGAGGCAGAGGAACACTGCCCCAGGGGACACAAAAGCAGGGTGAGGTCTGGCCACTGTTGATTAGTCCTTTCCCAGCTTCTGAAGCAGGGATTCTGAATCAGAACTGTACACAAACATCTAAGAAGTTAGAGCTTTCTTTAGTTACACTATGGACATACTCTTGTATGAAGGGCTATTTGAGACTAATCTGCGTTTGTTTAGAGAAACAGGATGACCAAAAGGAACATTTAGGAAGTGAAATAGGCATTACCATGGAGGATGTGGGCTATGAAGGGAGTAAGGGGGTATTTTCTCTATCCTCACTGTACAAAGGAGGAAGCTGACAATGTTAGAAGGGAAATGCAAGTTCAGTTCAAAGATGAGTTTGAAGTGTTTGTATGCCCGATGGTAAGGGGAGATGATTTTTCACATGAACTTGCAAAATAACTCTGGAGCAGTGTGTGCATTCTCCAGGGTTATGAGGGCCAAGCAACTTGAAAAATGTTAATCCAACAAGTGAAATGACCTGGATTTTTCAGATGGAGAGATCTGAGAAATGAACATTCTTTTCTGTTGCACTTCTAGAATCGAAGCCCCAAGGATACCCTTTGTCAGTCGTCTTCCCATCCTGACATCCTTCATGGGGCTCAGACTCAGTAGTCTCTTCCCTTCACTCTGTCCTCCCTGCTCTTCTTTCTCACACCTTCTTCCCACTGATGGAAACTTCAAGTCTTACCTCATGACCCAGAAGTTTCTTCCTGCTTATGCCCTTTCCTGGTTACCTCCCCAAACCATGTGGGTGGCTGGCTCTTGAGTTTAAATATGAGTCTCAATTTTACCCTGGTGCCACCTCTGAGGCAACAGGAAGCACTTAAGAAAAATATGACCAATCTCTGAGTGGGTGGACACAATCCAAGGTGGGCTAATGTGAGGACTTAGGAATTTCCTAAATGAACAGAGAGCCAGTTCTATAGCTAAAGACGGTACTCTGCCAAGAGATCAATAAGGTTTACTCTCAGATAATTCCAACTTCCAGGCACATCCACAATTTATGACAATAGAGTCATGCCATCTGGCTTGAATTTCTCAGGCAGCTTCTCAGCTTCCAGTCTTGTCCGCTTTCAACTCAGCATAGCTACCAAAATAACCTAAAGAAATCTAGACTTGTTTTAGTTTACTCTTCACTTCCATTGTTACAATAGGATGACTGCGTGCCTTACAAACAGCATGCTGGCCTCTGTCCGGGTGGTGTTCCCATCTCTTAGAGGTCTGCTGATCCTGCCCATATAATCCATACATTGAGAGGGCAAATTACTTTTGCTATTTTCCAAGTCATGTTTAATGGTTTTCCAACAACCTCCTAAGTCCACTTAACTCAAGAAAACCCAAGACCTCTCAACCAAAAGATAAAAGGAAACATTCCTGTTTTCAAAATTTTATTGCGATGTTGGGGAGAAACAGCCAACATATACATTCCTCATTTCGTCATGACTGGTATGTTATTTCACACTCGATAGGTTCTTCTCTGGCTTTGATTTAATGTCAGATCTCCTTGGCAGTCTCCCTTCTGGTGTCCTCGTTGCTGCCTGGTGCTGTTTGAAGTCCACCAGGGCAGAGCCCGCTGAGGGGGTCACACATGGGAGCGGCAATTGCGATTGACTGTGGGGGAAGCACAGGTTTGCAACAGGGACACCCGTTAGAACATACCCAGCAGCATATTTCTTGCCCAAATCTGCAATTAGTCATTGAAAAGAATCTCAGACTGAGTTCAGGGTCATATGAGGACTGCCTCCGAGAGGCAGGGCCCGGGAGAAATGGGTTCTTAAGTTTGACACTCTCCTCCTCATCCCTCAACTCACCGTCATCACTCCGTTTCCTGCTTTTCATGCTGCTCTTCCGGTATTTTCTTTTGTTGCCACCTTTCTTCACTCCCTTGTGAGGAGATCGGCTCTTGCCTCTCCTCATGCCGTGACCCTTTAATTTGCGGCTGTTGGACATTGTAATTTCTGCCCAGATGAGGAGCTTTGCAAGGCCCAGAGGCCCAGAGTCTGGGTATTTAAGGCCTTGGCCATTGTGATGGGCAGGGCCGTGGCCAACAGGTGGGCGGAGTCCTATTGTGCTGTCATTAGCCTTTGTAACACTTTGGTCATATACTTAAAATCAAGTGACCCCTTTAATGCAGCTCAAGGCCTACCCTCAATTTTCAGGTCCTTTTCACATTAAGCAAAGATTTCCAGACAGGTATTACTAAGCAATTCAATCCCAGCCATCTGGTGAATACTAGAGACCATTCAAATATGTATCTCCTGCCTGTAGGAAACAGATTAAGTGTGTGTACATGCACGAGTGCTTAAGTCTCTCACATTATCTGGTGATAACACATGTATTTCTATAGGATTTGACTCTACACAATCCAATTCAGTATGATCAAAATATAAATATTTCTTTTCTTTCCTTTAACTCAGAGTTTCTCCATGAGCACCGTTGACACTATAGGCTAAGTAACCTTTGATGTGTTTTCCTGTGTAGCCAGGGTGTTGGGCACCATCTCTGACTTCTACCCACTAGATGCCAACAGAGCCTCCGCTGCTGAGACAATCCAAAATACTTCCAAACATCTCTCCTCTCCCTTTGGGAGGCTGGGGCAGTGAGGGACAAGATCACCCTGATTGAGAACTTTAGTTATGGAGATCGATCACATAGCGTATGCCAGGCACTCAGGTGGCAGGAAAATAGTGGTGGATAAAAACAGCTGTAGGTGTTGTGCTCATGGAACTTGTAGCCTAGCGGGGAGGAAGCCATTAATCAAGTCATTAATACAAATCAGTGAATAAATACTTAGGGGGATATTTTGGCTGAAAGGGTGCAGAGGAACTTCCCAATATTGTGCAGAATGAAATTGGAGAGAAAGGTAGAGACCAAACCATGGTCTAGTATATTGGAAAGCTTCAAAAAATGTGAAGATGGCATGACGACATTAGGGGGCACTGGGCGGGTGATGTGTTGACAGGGGGAACAGACGCTGCTGTCAACAGCAGGGGTTCAGTGAAGAGAAAGATTTGACAATGGCTTAGACCTGGGCCAGAGAGAAAGTTGGTTGAGATGTAGAGAAGAAACAGAGACCAAGACTTGAGGATGGATTGGACTTGGGAGGTGAGAGCAGACAGTGTCAGGGTGTGCCACTTGCTTGTGTGATGTAGCCATCTAGATGCTAGTGCCACTCAAGGGAATAGGCATGGGGATAGTGGGGAATTATCTACTTGGTCTAAGGTATAGTGGGCCTGATGTGCTTTTGAGATTTCCAAATAGAGATACTGAATGATTATTGGGTCTGAAGGATTCATCATCCAACCTTTTCTTCTTCCTTCTCTTTATTTTTTAAGTATAGATATGTGAGGTACAAATCAGGATTAGTTACACAAGCAGGCTTCGTATAAGGTGAAGTTTGGACCACCAGCTGGCCCTCATTTCCCGTGGTGTGTGCCCTTTGTGATGCCACTTGGCTCCTTCCTCCCTCACTCCCCTGGCAGTGTCCTGTGACCGCTGATCCCTCCACTGTGATAAAGTGATTAATGCTCAGGTCCCACTTATGAGTGAGAACATTCACTATTCAGTTTTTGTTTCTATGGCAGATCACTAGGTATGATGGTCTCCAACTCCATCCAATTTGTTACCAATTTCATGATTTTGTTCTTTATGGCTTTGTAATACTCCATTGTGTATATGTGACACATTTTAAAAATTCAGTCCACTTTTGATGGGCACTGGGGTTGGTTCCATGTTTTGGCTATTGTAAATAGTGCAGCTAAAAACATGCAAGTGCAGGTGTCTTTTTTTGTAGAATGATTTATGTTCCTCTGGGTATATTCCCAGGAGAGGGATTGCTGGATCGTATGGAAGGTCAATTTTTAGTTCTTTTAGGAATCACCACACTGCTTTTCATAGAGGGTGAATCTTCTTTCTTTATACATCATATCAAGTGCTTTGAAACACATTTCAGTAGAACTTGATATCTATTTCTTCCTTTTCTCCCTCCTTTCTCCACAGCCACTATCCTTCAAGAACTGAGCAGCTTGCATGCAGGAGGCTTTTAGCAAAAGTGCGTTGAATAGAAGAGAAAATGTGGTTCAAGCCTCACTCCCTGTATTTCTGATGTCTAGAGATGGCAAATCATGTTTGAAACCCAGACTTCATGAATAGCCACCACAAAGTGACACTTTCCAATTTCCTGTTTCCAGGCAGGTCTCCCTGGAGACCTTCTCTTGGTGACTTTTATTCATACAAAGAGGAAGGAATTCTATGAAACAAGCTACCAGCTTGCCTCTTTGTGTTTCCAGACCTTCTCTGTCCACCCAGGTCTAGTTGTTTCTCCTACAAACAAGTCCCATGAAAGCAAGGACCTCGTGAACCCAGGAATTGAGAAAACGTGTTCACCAATGTATAGCCCCTGAGGTGTTAAGCAGTCCTGCCACAGAATAGCAGCACAGTAAGTGTTTGTGGAATACATTTGTTCAAGAATAAAAAGTCCTTCTTTTGTTTTTCTGTCTTTCTCTTTCCCATTTTGTCCCACATCTGGCTTTGGTGGTAGCTTCCTTGTAGTTAGAGACTGCACCTTTTATTTCTACTGCCGGTACTAGCATAGTCCACAGTAGATGGTCAGTAGATATTGGTTCAATCTAGCTGCTTGGGTATATTGTGAGGACGGACAGTGCAACACAAGCAGAGTGACTTGGTACAAGTGGGAGCATTTCTAGGCAGAGCAGGGAGAAAAGACATTGACTCCTAATAGGTCCTCTGGTTCTTTGTGCTGACCTCTCAGGCTGACTCCATTGGCTGAAACCTTTACAAAGGAACTGGCCTTTTTGGCTGGAGAGGTATTTTCTGGATGGTCCTGATGACTGGCTATGATTTCGCTCCCCAATCCCTCCCACTCCCCAAAGACCTGCTCTGCCAAGGAGAAGCTGAGATCACAGGGAAGAAAACAGCCAGACTTGGGAACTGACGAAGAAACACACCAAAAAAGCCCTTTTGCATGGGGTTGACGAGGAGCAATTCTGTTTCCAGACACCCATGCTGTGATACTTCAGCCGCAGAAAATCCAGTGGGGGTGTGGGGAGGTGATTCACAGGCCACTCAAGGGTGGGACTGTAGGGGGTGTTTCAGTTGGCTGGATCAGACCTCCTGGAGTGAGGGCAAGGTAGTGCTGAGCGTTGGCCACTGCTGCCCATCTCTGTTTCTCTTTCCATTTCTGCCCCAGTGCTGCTTGAGCCAAGGGCAGTTTATATAGAGCTCAGTGAGTTCACTTCTGACCCTTAGCGGGCCTAGAGTGAAGCCTTTCCTTGGGAACCGTCTGTTAATTTAGTCTAGCGGCTGTCTCCTCATCTTTGCACAGAGAGGACACGTGAGCTACTTCAAATGACCTAACATAACACTAGCAGGGGCAGCCCAATAAACCTGTTTCTGTCACACCTTGGCTTCCCCGGTGGGAACCAGCTTTTATTTCTCTTGATGAAAGGGAATAAATAGTGCTGGGATTACAGGCGTGAGTCACCGTGCCCGGCTGGAAATCAATATTTTCTGATAGTTCTTGGCACATAAAGAGAAAGACCTAAATTCCTAGCCTTTTTAGAAAAGGAGCTATCAGTCCCTTCTCTCTTGGGGCTGTGTGTTATCTAGCCTGGAGACAGGTAGATAGACAGAATAGTGTCACCATCCCCCAGAAGGATAGCCAGAGTTGGGGAAGGGAAGGGCTCAGACACTAGTGTTTCACTGGCCCCTTTCCTAGGTTAGCAAGGGCAGGCTTAGGGTGTTACTGTTTTGGAAGTCAGACCTCTGGTTGGGGTCCTTCTCACCTTTCAAACTCATTCCATTAATTTTCCTGGGGAGTCCAATTGATGCCTTCACAGGGCTGGATCTTCCCAGCAGGCTGGGACTTAGGGCTTATTACCAGGGAGCATGGAAAAGTTGCTGACAGTTCTTACACATGTGAATGACTCAGTCTGAATCCCTCTCTGAAATCTAAGTCTCTCCAGATGTTGACCTTGACTGGGAAGTGGGGACCTTCTACCCTCTTCACAAGCACACCCTGTCTTCTCTACTGTTGCTGCTGCTCCTTCTCAAACTGGCCAAGGGGTTCTGGGATAGACTGGAGGAGGTGACAGTGCCTGAGAGAAGTGCCTCACAAGGGGTGGAGAGCTCTCTGAGCTCAGGACACATCTGCTGTCTTTAGTAGGTAGTAAAGAGAGACCAGAGACCAAGGCTAAGGGGTAGTTTTCAGAGTCAAAGGAAGGAAGGAGGAGCTCAGTCTCATTTGCCTTTCCCCATCTCATTCTGGGAAGTGCAGGGAGCATCTTGGTTCTGAGAAGGCCTGGGATCTGCCTGAAGATTTGGTGGTGTTCCTTCCCATTTTCCCACCAGCTTTCTTTCCTATCCTTTTTGCCGCATTCCCTGTTGTCTTTCCATAAACTATTCCTGGGTTTTTTTTTCAGGTGAGATTAAGCTGCTTAAGGGTGGGAGATGCATCCCAAGAGTGGTGGTCATAGGAGGCCCCACAGCGACCACCTCACCCTGTTCCTTTGAGAGCCAAGAGACTGCTCAGGGACTGCAGCAGACAGTGGAAGACCCAGGGGTGGACACAGCATTGCCGATCCTAACCTGAGGACTGCCCACGGCACCATAGTACCTTCCCTACTTAATTCTCCACTCGATTTGCTTTTTCCCTCATGCATGTGAGCTGGGATCACAGTGAAGGAATTCAACACCGAAAGCAGAGGGGGAACTGGGAAAAGGTGGTCAGATCTTCTTAGAGGCAGAATGTGAATTTGAAGTTCTCATTTTGAGATCATTCAAACTTTCATTTTCTTTGCATTTTTTGGACTTCTGAAAGATGATTTGACTACCTTTATTCTTTTTGTCTTCCCAAGCCACCATTAACAAGGCTACAAGGTGCTATGGTACACAAAGAAAATCTGACTTTTATGCTTCAGAAGGTTCTAAATAAGAAGTTTTGACATTAACCACTCCCCTGC